TTCCCTGAAAATAATTACAGGGAGTTAAAAAGCCACTCTGCGTGTGTGCCAGAAGTATAACTGATCTAGCTACCAGAGGTACGTCAGGAATAAGAACAAAGGATCTAACCCGTTTAGTAGTTAGTAGTAAATGAATCCAGAGATCTCATTCTTGACATGGGTGGGCAGACAGTTCGATACTCCCACAACACTTAGATCTATAACCACATCAATGCACTGCTATTTCGACTCACAACACAGCATTTCAGTGTAGTTTTGATGCTCTTTCTGGGGAGCCTCATATGTAGCAGCACTAGTACAGATTTCTGGACAGTCTTATTTCTTAATCACAGTCTACTAATATTTTGAATTTTATTGTGATTCAAAATCATTACTGGTTACCTCTTTTCTACACATTTTCTTTATGTAGTACCAACTCAATTAAAATTAAATGCTGTTTAATATCTATATATATATATTGTTTATACTAATGCATACCCACATCAACATCTTACAGTGTCAAAGACTGTCTTTCTATGGTTTGTCAAAATACAACTGATAAGGGAGGACAACAATCGCTCATTCTGTAAATTCTGGAAGCTGCCCACCTTATTTAACGCTCTGTGATTTAACTGTTTGATGATACCCGACAGCATTATCTACTCTTCGCTGGCTCCTGCCTACACGATGGTTTTGAAAAGCATCTCTACTTGGTCTCAATAATTTTGTGCATTCCCTGTTGAACGTCTGGCCCACTTTGATCTTGTGGTCTTTCAAGCTCAATGTCAAAATTACGTTGTTGTTACCTTAAATGGTACTTTCTCAACTTTTGACTCATTTCACAGAAATCCAACTAATATTAGTCCCTGGACGTGCTTACCTAAATACATACTTTAGGTTTGACGTCCTTAGCACAAAAAACATACTTTTGTAATAGAGAGAGTTCTATAATATCACATAATCTTTGCTGGGAATGTCAGTGCAGAATGATTTAAAGGCCAAGTTCTCACAACTGAACTGGCTCGGCCGCCAGGAATCGTATTCCCATTAGACACAACTAAATGGCTCATCCTTATTCATGCTCTAATATCGGAGGGAGATCATTTGTGTGACAGCATTTGTGTGACCATGTGCTGCGCTCTGTAACAGTGTGAAATGGTAAGTTTATTATTTTATCGTTTCTTGCAACAACAAAAATACAACCCAGAGAGCAAACCCCCACTGTGTGGAAGAGTAAACCTTTGGAAATGCAAAATGATCCACTCCTGAGCTCCCCTGTAGGTTAGTTGGTCCTAGAGACAGATAAACACAGTACCTCCACCTGAGCAGGTAAGCCCATAAATGTCCCACCAGAGGAGACTCACTTTAGACTCCAGGTAGATGTTTGCTAAGGACATCTTGGCTATTTTGTAGAGGCACAGAGAGAGGGACACGGCGCAGAGGACAAACAGCGTGTCATTGATGGCCACTCGAACCAGGACGATTATTTTGACATCGGCACTGGACATTTTCACCAGCAGCGCGCAGGTCAGGTTCACCACCAGAAACAGCAGGCTGATGGACAGGAAGGTCAGGTACAGAGGTAACCTGGTATGAGCGAATGGAAGAGCTCAGAATCAAATCAGCAAGAATCAAAGTCCAGACTTTCTGAAAGTCTGCCATGATAAATATGCTCAGATTGTTACGTGGGCTTCACCAGGCTCTCACTGTTTTGACTTTGCCAGAATTGAATAATTGCATGGTTTACCATCATAAATCATTTAGAAACATAGAAACAATCAGGCCTGTTAAATATTTACCGTGGTAAATCATGATGTTCTCAAGTAAAGTACAGTGAGGGTATGGCAAAATCCTTGACATGCATAATAAACACAGTGTACTCTACACATTGCAGTTGCAAAAGACAAACACAATAAAGGTGAGTATTATGCAGAATTTTAATTGTGTGACAATCATGGGACATCACATTACTTGGCTTCATTGTAATAATAATTGCTTACACTTATATGGCACTTTTCTGGACACTCTACTTCAAGAGCTTTACAGGTAATGGGGACTCTCCTCCACCACCAGTGTGCAGCCCCACCCGGATGATGCACCAGTACACTCACCACACACCAGCTCTCAGGGGGTAACACCCCTACTGTTTTCAAGAAGCACCCTGGGATTTTTAATGACCACAGCGAGTCAGGACCATGGATTTACATCTCATCTGAAGGACAGCACCTTTTAACAGTGTAGTGTCTCCGTCACTATAGTGGGGGCAATAGGACCCACACAGGCCACAGGAGGAGCACTCCCTGCTGGCAACACTAACACCTCTTCCAGCAGCAGCTTTATTTTCTCCCAGGAGGTCTCCCATCCAGGTACTGACCAGGCTCACACCTGCTGAGCTTCAGTGGGCTGCCAGTGGTGAGTTGCAGGGTGATATAGCTGCTGGCTAGTAGAGCACATTTGTTCAAGCACTAGGCCAGTGGAAATAAAGTAGCTTCTCTTCTTGTAGGCCCTCTCTGTCCTTGTGTACTGTAGATGATGAAGTTCCCCATTAGCTTAGCGCTGTGTTTAATAATAACCCAGCTAAAAGCTGTGTGTTCTGTGAAGCTGAAAACTCTGGTTGCCCAGGTTACGTTTCACTTCCTAAAAAAGAGAGTTGCTTTTTTTTTTCAATAACCTCTGACATTTTACAGGCTTTTTAAATTTTGTTGTTTAAATGATATTTTGGAAATGTTTGCCTGAGTTTGTCCAGGTTCAGACGTTCAGACTGCAAGGATGTGTCACATTTGAAAGAAACAGACAGCCAGGCAGTTAGCCCACAGAAAACAACAGCCAAAGCTGGACAGTTCTCAGCCTTATGAAGAAACAGAGTATATTAAAGGCGTCTGACCTGTACTTCAGAAGTTCTGGTGCATACTTGGATTTAGCCTTGAAAACAACCTGCATGGGAGGAGAGAAAAGAGAAGTTCTGAAGAAACATACCATGGAGTCATTTGTCTTTCGGCAGCCCAAGTCTGTATCTTAAAGTTTATGCTGTGACACTGCATCAAGGAAGCCCACCTGCCCCTTGATGAGACTGAATTACTAATTAATCTAAATATCTGCTGTAACCCCAACCCCCAGAAACAAGTAGGGATGTGATCAGAAATCCATAGTTTGCACATAAGCATAAAATTCATGAACCTAATATTCATGCTGTCACCACTTATTTACATGGATGTCTTTCTGGATCCTGCCTGAACAGGTACAATGAAGTATCACACATAAAGGGATATGTACCTTGCACTTATGATGTATTTGGGTCATATACGTATGTGTGATGTGAGGCAATGATCTGCATGTCCCAACAGACATTCGCCGGCTCGGTCTTCTGGCCGTTCACGAGTTCTTTCATGCCCCCGAAACGGATGCCTGACCAAACGAATAGTCATTTCACAAAGCAAGCGAAAAGGTTTCCCTTATCGCCAGGAAGCCAGCGCAAAATGGGGAAGTGTCTGACACAGACAATCTATTTTTAAAAAAAAATCTTCCTCTTAACTACGGGTAAAAAACAGCAGGAATAAAAAAAAATATGTTAAAAAGAATCGTGTAGTAAACAACTGAACCTCTAAAAAATAGTCAAAATCATGTATCACAATTAAAGTGCAAAAGTACAGCCTGTCTAGCAGCATTCTTAAGGAAAATAGTCACTCCCTTTCTCACACAATATGTTGCTGTTACAGATTCAGTAACTTTATAGTATACTCCTTAACATAGCTGAATGCTGGTATTCTTTAAAGTAAGCTGTTTATACAGTATGTGTGAGTGTAAGGGCTGATTCACAGGAGACGCAAACCTGCCCCCAGTCAGGAAATATCTGTCCTATTTTGAACCTTGTCTACCCAAATTAGCAAGTTTTCCTTCAACTTCATGCAAAGTGGCAACATTTGTGCTTATTTTTTTTCAGATCCACCAATTACACAACGCACTTGCTTTTAAACCACTGCCTATATTGCTGGTTTGACGCAACAGCCCCTTTACTGAATTCTTTTTTCTGCCCAGCGTGAAGTTAAGTATCTAAAAGGAAACAGCGTGTTGAAACAGTGTTTGTGTTCCGGAAGAAACACAGGACATGCAGAGATTTTCGACAGAAAAGGCTCTGGACAGTGCGTTCGCCAAACTCCAGACTGTTTCTCTCAGGTTTCACACGTCCGCTGGCAGCTCCTCAGGATGTTCACATTCACCTTACAGCTTTTGAGGCAGGGTTTTAAGAAGCGTACAGAGGTCACCATATGTGCTGAAGATTTAAAGTCAGATTACATAAAAGGTTCAACCTCTAAATATTAATTTGAGAAAACTTTTGTTTGGCCGCATTTTCTACAGAAGTTAGACTGGCCAGGAAGGATTAACGGAATAGAAAGAAATTCAAAGACTGGAAGAGCAGAAAGTTCTTGTGGTTTTTATTCTCTCTCACATACGCAGGAGAACACTCTAAATCTGAAGAGTCTTACGCGCTGAGGGAGATTTCCCAAGTACAATGTGTGGGATTTATTGGGGATTCCAAAAACAGTGCCAGAGGTTATTTAATTGCAACAGAAGAATGGAAACAAAAGCTGCTGTTCAGATTAGCTGTGGATAATCTCCAGTATATACAATCACAAGAGATCACATCGGAGATACTGTTGTTTGGAATGCTAACAACAAAATCTGATTGAGATACAGAAGGTGGTTTACTATACCGCAGCTAGAGATTTACTATTGAATTGTCTTTTAAGAAAACACTGCTCCTAACACTCTAAAATAAACCTGAACTACAACCTGTGGCTAATCACCAGGCAGCATGAACCCTAACCTTTAGAAATAGTTAAACTAAACACTAACTCACCAAACCGAGTGAGTCCTCAGTTCCCATAAATGTAAACAGTTAACAAACCCTAATGCCAGCTTTATCCCTAAAACCCTTAAACACTTACCCTAACTTTAATACATCTAACGTAGCTCTAATAAGATGCACAGCCCTAATAAAGTAATACATTATATTCTAATTAGTAATTAATTAGTAATATAAGCCTCACCGCTATATTAACTATAAGTAAGAACCCTCAAGTCAAGCCCTAAACCCTCTCCAAGGTGTGATTTGTCATCAGTCCTCCTGGGGTTCTAGATGTGAACCACAAAGTAAAGTAAAATAATAAACAAAATATAAGCACTATGTCATTTTGCCAATTTAGATTCTGCTCCTTGACCATAGACTCGGTAAAGTATTTGGAAAACTACATGCGTTTAAGTCATGTATTGAGTTCATTTAATTTTTCACTTTTTCAAGTCAGGTTTTTTTACTGAACAAATATGCTTAGTTAGCATGACCTGGGCTCGATGAATCATTTCTAACTTGGAGAGCTGCCTCTAGCCTTTGCAGTCTGCTCTGCAGTCCAGTGGTTTATAAACTTGTCAAAACGTGCCTGTTGTCAGGACCTCCTGTGAGAACAAGACTCACTGTCAGCTGGCTCTGATGAAGTAAACAGCGAAGTCTCTGCTTCACAATTTGAGCGGCTTGAACTGACACTGACTCCACAAGAGCGCTGAATGAATGTACTGTACATGCAGCATGACTGTAAAAAGATGTGTGCAAGTAACTGCAGTGCATCACTTCAGAAGTTTCGCACACCTCAAAGACAGAGTCTGAGGGTCACAGAAGGATCTATAATGTTCGAGACTCTTGGTGTTTACTAACTGGACGGTGGTGCACCTGAGAGGGTTCTCCCTGCCTGGCAGTAGCTGAAGTAGCTACAGTAGGTTTTTCCCACAGGAGCAAAAAAATGAAAAAAGACAAACAGCATACCTGTAACCCATCTCCCCATTTCTCATGAGAGCTTGCCTGACACACACTCACAGACACACAGGAGGAGAACTGACCTGGGCGAAATAGAGGTTCATCAGGCTGAGGGTGAAGAACTGCAGGCACACTGGGAAGCAGTAGAGGAGCCAGAAAGCGAAGGGACCGAGCGAGTTGGCCGTGACGAAGTTCCTGAAGTAGAAGGAGAAGAGCACGGTCCGCAGTGCTGCCCAGAGCAGGCAGAGGAACAGGAAGACAGTCTGGTAGCTGAAACGCTTGTGCCTGTAGTGGAGGACGAGCCAGAGCTGGACGTACACAAAGACGAAAAGCAGGGAGTAGAAGACGGTGTAGGCGATGGTCAGGCCCAGCTTCACGTAGGGGGGCACGGCTGGGCTCAGGGTCGGGGGCGGCACAGAATCGTTCCTCTGGAGGTCCCTCACCGGTGCTGCCATCACCTCCCGCCCCCGTCCGCCACCGACCGGCGGTAGGCCTCTCCGCTCCGCGTCTGTCTCAGCGCAACCTGTCTCCCTCTCCCCGACGCCGTTCCATGCAGGCTGTGCATGCAAGCGCAGCCTCTGGCATGAACAGAAAAAAAGAAAACAAGCTCACTTCCTGCTTGCACATCGGCGAGGGCCAGAAGCTGCAGCACATGATCTCTATTCAGAATGAATCATTTGTCAGCACTTGGCAGGAAACTGAAATTTGCTCTTTGTGGGCAATCCCCAAACAATCCACACACTGACAGTTCTTTAACTCTTTAGAGAGACCCAGTCTCGGATGTGGACCGAGACGAAAGGTTTTATTTATCTATTAGCAAAAGGTTGACTTGGTTTCAAATTGACAAGTTGTACGCAACGGTTTTCTTTGGAAGGCCTTCAAAAAACCTGTAGAGGTTCAGATGTTACAAAGCTGTTTCAAGTTTTTTTGTAAAAAATGACTTGTTCCAGGTCTATGTTCATTCCCAAGTGTGGAAACTCTACACTTCCATATATATTATAGATATGTAATCTGCTGTGCATATATTTAGGTAGCTTAAATAGCAAATCCCTTTCAAATTGCTCTTAAACTATACTTCACCAGTTACTTTTCCTCGTGTTTAGCTATGGACATATGAAGACACAAATCACCTAGAGATTAGGAATATAGGTAAAAAAACAAAACATTCAGAATCTCTAACACTTTTCTTTTTCATGTCAGTTTTATGAATAATAAATTCATTAACCTTTTGAATGGGAAAGTACAGGTCGAAGAATATGGACATTTAATTTATACGATTTGAAAAATGGAATTGCGAGTCTGTCCTGGCTTTGTTGCTGTCGCCTTGTGATGTAAGGTTTACAAAACAGTGTTTCACGTAACTAGCGTTAACTTGTTTGCAATACCCATCGCTATTTACAGTTTCGTGTATTCAGCTTGTGTAAGAACATCTATTAATAATATCGCCTAATTTGAGCCTCAATGGATCGATGTTGTCCTCTGTTTAAAAGATGTCATGCAAAGGAATGCATTGTACGGTCGCTGTGCTATATTTACGTTTACTTTCACTTCTGCTAATGCAGACTGCTGTATTTATAGAAAATATCTATAGAAAATATTTCCCTCTACGAGAATATTTCTCTTTTTCGAGAGAGCTTTGTATTTTTAAAAAGTACAACAACCACCAGGATGACCTACACGAAGAATACAAATCAAGTAATATAATGACTTCCACGCATTTTAGTGTTTCTAAATCTTTTTTTTTTTCCTGTTTGGTGGCGCACACTGACTTACAGATACTGTGATATCAAACTCGATTTGGTATTAAATGCAGATATTTCCACATTAAGTGTACTGAATCTAAGCACGTTTTAGCCCCTTCCACACAACGTTACCAGACGTTTTCTTCAGTACAGCAGTGCTTCACTCGCTTAGACGCTTTTACTCAAACGTTTGAGGCAAGATGCTTAGGTCAGTACGCCACATGAGATCTTAATCCTGGGAATCCCATACCAGCAGAAGTACAAGGATCTCTTCTCTAAGAGGATAACGAGAATCCCCTGACATCTAGAAGCCCCGTGGTCCATATTTCATTCCTTCGAAGATGCTGTGCGCTCAAAGGTCCTTCTCCTTGTGCGCTGCTGCTTGTTTTCCTCCGTCTGACCGCAGGTCATGAGAACTGGGGAAGACCGGTAATGGAGGTCCTCTGCTCGGACCTTTGACCAGCCCCGTCATTTCTCTCGGGATCGATAAACATTTCTGTCGGACTCCACTTCAGTAAACACGACTGGAGTTTGTTTTCCAGCCTCTAAATTTTAAGGGGCAATCTAGGTAAAACAAAAACAACACGGGAAAGGCACAAAGCTGTAAACTTGTGATCTCCTTAGTCGGGAAAATATGCCGTAAGGATGGACACAGCTAACGGACATGTTACTTAATTTAATACAAGCAGGAAGCAAAGCTGCATTCCATCGTGTGGTCAGATGGACACAGAATAAATTGAAAGAATATGTTTCCACAAATCCCACTCAGAACAGCTACAGTATTGTAGCAAATGAGCCGTTCATGATCAAACAAGCCGTTTGTGTAGAAATAATGAGGTATGGATTAAGTGTCGGGTTGATTTTTCACTATTTTTAGTTGCTAAATTCTGTTTTGGCTATTGGTCATTGTGTGTAATCATTTGTTGATTTTTGTTTTTATTTTTTTCCTCTTTTTAGAATCGATTTGTAAAGTTTGTTGTCATGACCGGCTATTGGGAGTTGAGATGCACAACAAACAGTGCGGGAGAGATGTCACCATGATGACCTTAATGAACAGGCTTCTTTAACAGACCGGGATAAGGAGGCATATGCTATTATTTAACATGTCATGCTCGTGTAAGCGTACAGTTTCCACGGGTCAAAACCAAAAGAGTATAAACATGAAATAAGATATATTTTCCTTTTGTTACCTTCATTTGTGTTCAATAATTTCTAGGAGTCGTAACCATGCGCAACCTGTTAAACAGGTTTAATTTCAGTGGCTGGCTCCCGAGTCTGAATTCTTTTGCTATAGGCGTCAACATCCTAGAGCCTCTGATGTTCATCAAAGCATCAGTTCTAGAGAAAAACAACGCTAAGAGCAACATATCTAAATGCACATTTTCACAGCTACTTACAAATATTTATTCAGTTCTTTACCCTGAAAAAGTAAACTATACGTGTAACAACAAAAAAAAAAAACACGATTAACTTGATACAGCAACTATATAAATTAATGGCTTCAGCAATTTACAACGCAATGCTTCCACGCTAACTTGGGTTTTTCAACTGATAAGTATCATTTTCCGAACCTACCAGTTTTGAAATCCTCCCGTCATCTTCTGTCTGTACCTTGCCTTATTTTTAAAAAATGATGATATTGTGAAACTTTTCTATGAGATTATATTACTACAAAGAAGGTGAGATTAGACAGCTATCTGATAGATAAGTAAAAGTTTTTGTTTTGTTAAAATAAAGCATTGAAAGGGAAACTGAAATGATCCGTCCGTGAGATTTGTAAAGCCATAAAATACTGTACGTCAGCCACTCTGTTTGAGGAAGTGCCTACTAATATAAACCACTGTGGGGGGCGAGGGTACTGTATGACACAGCGGTGGTTCGTGGTTTTTTTAACGATCACAGAAAAACTCGCCAGTCAGCGACATGAAATAACTACTCTGTGCAAACGGGGTGAAAACGAACATTCAACAGTAGTGCTTTCGGTCCAAGCTGACCTCAGTTCAGCATGTTTAATGGGGTCCCTTTTAAATTAGCAGCGGCTGAAAAGTTCAGAAAGATGTTTAGTTAATGCAAATAAACTCATGATTAACTCAAAGGCTGTCAGGAGCTCAGCTGGAATGAAAACCTCTGAAAAACACATGATGCTGGAGGATGGAAGGTGGGCAAACAGGCACTGTTATCTCTCAAAGTTGATCAAATGCACAACAATATAGCGTGCAGCAGTAGTTGCTGTCAATGAAATGTCTTTTCTACAAGCTCAACAGGGGGATAAAAAAACAAAATTAAAGTTACAAATAAGGTTACATAATAATAGATTATAGTGCAATAGAAATTGAATTAAGTAAACTCAGACAAAACTCAATATAAACAGAGCTGCTATGTGTCTAGGGTGTATGCAATACTTTATTTACTCTGGGACAGAGTGTGAGAATGCTTGAGAAATATCTAAAGCTTACATTGCAGACTGTGTATACTTTGAACATCAATATAACCTGGTACAGTATTGAAACTTGTCCACATTGCCGAAGTAGGCTGATCTTGCTCCGATGTCTCATAAATGCCCCGGTCTTTCCAGCAGGGCAGTGCCTTTGGTAGAGAACGACCTTGAGATAGAATTTGCATTCTTGAGCCGCTGTCTTAGGTTTAATAAAGTTTTGGAAGCTGTAAGGTAAGAAGGGAGCCCCCATCAAAGATCTCCCGTCCTCTTCGTTTCCGATTGGGGGGACTCGAGGGGAATCGAGGGTTTTACGTTTCCTTTACCCGTTTTGCTGCATTCAAGACAAAAACAACCAATCTGTCGTTGAGAAAAGTAATCTTCAGTCTTTTGTGATTACTCGGCTGTAACCCACCATCAGGAAAGGATGAAAAGGCGTTGCACTGTATGCTCTCTGCTTTTCAGACTCCAACTGTGAAAGCAGCCCGGATTGAGAGTTTGATTCCCAGTGCCTTCCATGTTCTCAGCCAGGAGGCTGTAAAGCTGGAGGACCCTTGACCTCCCCAGGTGCATCTTGCCATGGGTCTCAGATGAGCGCAGTACAGTCCACCTGGATCAGTGCACCTGGACCAGTGAGGCCCACGTTAGTGTTCTCAGCAGGGATTAGATCATTGCTCTTCAAGGAAGATGGATGTTTTTAAAATTTGGAATTGTCCTTATGTTGATCTGACTTGACAGGACAGCTGTTTGGGATTGGCAGGTTTTCTTCTACGATATTGTTAAAAAATAAATACATTGTGTATTGGTTTTCCACGCTGGTTACCAGGAACATTGATTTCGATGCATCGAAAATCGAAATCTCTACGACCTAGCCTGTTATTCAGCACAGATCAACAGATGAGTGATTCAGATATTTTCTATTTTAATTACATTTATTATATCATATTTTGAAAATATTTTCAAACTTAACATGAATTTATATTTGATTTATTACATTATATTTTGAAACATCTTGTGAGTCACGCTAGAGACTACACAGCACTCGTGAAATAAAGAATCCAGCAGCCCTGTGCCTTTTTTTGCGGTGCTTGGGGATGCTTTTTGTGATGCCATAACTGCTGCGCGGAGAGCGAGTAGGGTTTCCTGCTGGCACTGTGAGCTTGAGAAGCTGCCCGTTCACGATTTGCCTAAATATGGTCAGGCTTGCTGGCAGCCGGCTGGTTCCCACACATAGAGAAACACCAGGAGAGCCGGTGCCAGGCTTCACAGGGGCAAAGGCCGGCTGGTGACATCACTGACCTGCATCACAGATTGTCAAAGCCTGCCAGAGTGCTGTCAGTTGTTGTTTTTAAATCAGGGCATTAATACCTAAGGGTTGTGTGCCCAACCCAGTCCTTCTGCCTTTGCTCTGTGTTTTTCGTTGCTGTTTTATGTGTTTTTCCCCCCTGCCAGGGTTCATGCTGCCCTTTTCGCTGACGTCAGATCTGTCGCTGAGAAAGTAACCGCAGACTGGGGCTTTGACACTGCTGGTGTCCCCAGTGGGCCACATCGATCCACCCCAGCGTGCCTTGACCACACACCGCCATCACCCCCGTTTGAAACAGTTTTTCTTTAGTTGAACAAAATCATGCTATCACAACTAGTTAGATCATAATACAAGCTGCTACAGTGTCTCCCACCTATTATTATTATTATTATTATTATTATTATTATTATTATTATTATTATTATTATTACTACTCTTTCCTGGATAGTACACTCCATCATCACTTTTCCGGTAATGGGGACTCCCCTCCACCACCACCAGTTTGCAGCCCCACCTGGATGATGCGACGGCAGCTATAGTGCTCCAGTACACTCACCACACACCAGCTCTCAGTGGGGAGGAGAGCAGAGTAATGACGCCAGTTCAGAGATGTGGATTATTAGGAGGCCATGATTGGTAAGGGCCAATGGGAAATTTTGCCAGGACACTAGGGTTACACCCCTACTCTTTTCGAGAAATGCTCTGGGATTTTTAATGACCACAGAGAGTCAGGACCTCGGTTTGACGTCTCATCTGAAGGACGGCACCTTTTTACAGTGTTGTGTCCCCGTCACTGTACTAGGGACGGACAGAACCCACACAGACTCCAGGGTGAGCGCCCCCTACTGGGCCCACTACCATCGCTTCCAGCTTTCCTGAAGAGTGAGGTATAAGTGTAGCCAAGCCTGCATGAGGTATACCAGAATATATTACTGCTGGGCTGATGAGTGCCAGAGACTATAATAAACTGATGCACTGTTGTCATTTGGTCTTCATCCCAACATTGTTCTAAATGTGTTTTCTTAAGTATAAGAACAAATACCCTGTGATGTAAGCAATGCAGAATATTACAGTAGTGTTAAGAGCTAATAATGGGAGCCTTTGATGATATAGACATACATTGGGACTTATATGGTCAGTGTTAAAAGTCGTGATCTCTCATGTTGTTAAGCGGCCATTTAGTAATACAACTATGTAAAACTATAAATGGTCACAAGATGGCAGTATTAAACTATATAATATTCCCTTTGCTCTTTCAGCCCATAGCAACAAGGTCAAAATCATCATCACATCACTTTCAAATCACTGCGGATTCAATACAGGGTCGCAGGGGAGGGAGAGACTATCACTGGAAGCTCTGGGCATTGCAGGGCAGATAGACACAAACATACTCGCACCGAGGCCATTTTTAAGGAAGACAATTATCCTATCTCTATTTTGGGGCCCACACAAACATGAGGTAAACATGTAAATTCAAGGGCAATTAGCGTGGTGACTAAACTGCACAAATAATTCTAAAAATGGTTTAACTTGTAATACAATTTTAACATAACATCCTTTGAATTACTGTACATTCTACCCTTTTGTCTATGCACAGTATTCTCATACATGACACTTTCTGGCTTTTTTAAATTGTTTATCCATATTTTCTAAAAGAATGTACTGTAAATAATGTGTCAACACAAGCACCTGAGCCCTTTTCCTATGATGCCTCTTCTAGCTCACTTTATAGTTCTGAGTTTCTATTTATAGTTTTGGCACATGCATGCAAAACCCTGCACTTGTCTACATTAAACCTCATCTGTCAGGTGTCTGCCCAGTCTTATACTTCATCTAAATCTTTTTGAAATTTCACTAACTGCTTTTGCAGTGCTTGCCAGTCTTCCACGTTTGGTGGCATCTGCAAATTGTAATTACTTTACAAACTATACCCCAGATGACATCAATGATAAGTAGGTGGAGCAATTGTTTCCTGTCCTGCAAAATTTCTAGGTTTTTGGCTCTGATGCTTGGCTTTGTCTTCTATATCTTGACTTGGTTATTGTGAATTTACTGGTTTTTGAGCCTGGCCTGACCTCCTGAGCTGTATTTTTGGATAAACTCCTGCTGGTACTTTTGACTTATGGAAAAAGTCTCCTTAAAATCTAAATGCATATCAAAATATCACATACCTATGTGTCTCCATTACTGTGGCTGCTTGTGAAAGAGCTAAAAGGTGGGTAGGCAAGATGTAACTTTTGTAATGTTTCCTGTTTCTCAGTGACTGCTTTTGAATTTTATAGCTGGTAGTTCAGGTTAAATGCACCTACATTTATTGTATGTGGAATGTGTGTGTAAAATTATTTATAGAAACATCTTGCAGGTTTACATAGTAGTCCTGTGGGAGTCTGTGCCAAACTTTTTTGGAAAACTTCCAGGAGCTGAAAAGAAGTACAGTGATTGTTTAATCCTGTTTTTAATAAGCCTTAGTGGAGCCAGCCAGCTTTGGATCAAAAGCTAGTGCTGCTCTCAGTGTAGTTAGTTCTCTGGAGCATCTGGATGGATCTATATTGACATATGGAGGCTGGGAACAATGTTATTCTCCCAGGCCGGTCTTGTTATTTCTGCTGTGATGCTGCATAAGCAAACTTGGTATAGGCCATTGGCACATGTCTTCTAGTAATGGAAGTTTACCCATTGTACATTATTTGTGTAAAATTGTTTTCTCTCAGGAGTTATTAGTTACCTTAGTTTTTTGTTTCATTGTTCCTGTTGCTGATTTGCAGCTTTGTTTATTTTTTGTTGTAATTCTTTATTCGAACCAATCTCCTTTGTTTTTTTTAAATAAGTATATACACAATATAGATAAGGTAGTTTGTATGAAGCACAGGATCAGTGTTTACTGTTGACGTGAGTCTGTGCTGAGAATACCTTGTTTTGGTAGGAAAGCTGTGCATTATTATTTTTCGTTTTACACTGTACTGCAAACATCCTTGTTTCAACACAAATCAGGCTGTTTAGAAAAACAATCTTCTTGTGTATTACAGTACATTGCACATTTGTTTTTGTTTGGCCACACACAGAAGTCTTTGTTTAAGTCTGAGATCTGCTGAGGGCTGAATTTGCTGTTTGTGAGCCTACAGCAGGTCTGCATGTGTCTTTTTGTTTTCATAAAATCCTTCTGACAAATGAAGTACAGTAATAAGTTTTCCTTTCTCAGTCTGAGGCGGGGAGGAATCTCATGGACGCTACCATGCGGTATTGTGTTCAGCCAGCAGGCAGCACTGCCAAGCAGAGAGAGGACAGGAGATGGGATCAGTGCCTCCAGTTTGCTCTGGGAAGACCAATCTAATATGCAAAGCAGGTGCTTCCTCTCATCCCACCTCTGCAATCAAAAAAAATGTCAACAGAGCTGCAGCAGAAAGGTAGTAGTTATCAATACTGGTTCACAGCGCTGGTTTAATTCCAGACCTGGGGTGTTATGTGTGTGCAGTTTGTATCTTCTCCCCTGTCTGCATGGGTTTCTTTCACGTGATCTGGTTTCTAGTCCAAAGATATTTTTTGTTCTAGCAAAATAAACTTTATTTCATGAAAACCATTTTCACAATAACTAACAAATGATTAAACTTACATCAGTTCAAAACTTTCCCAATCGGGTGACTGTCCATTATCAAACAGAGCAAGTGGGGCTAGATTTGCTAGAGTCTACATTCACTTCCACGTCCTACCGCTTGTTTTTGTCCAGTTCCCTGTCGTGGCTCTGACCCGGCGGTCGTCCAGTCATCCGCAGGAGCTCAGGGAGCAGAGATTTCTGCTTCCGTCCCTGTACAAGGCCCACAGTCCCTTCCCTTGCCTCCAGTCCAAAGAGAGTTTATTTTTTTTCCCATCAAAATAAACTTTCACAAAACACATTTCACAATAGGTACACATTCTAACAAATTATTAAACTCACATCAAATAAGAACTTTCCGAATGAGGTGACTGTCCGTTATCAGTCAGTGCAAGTGGATGAGGGGGCCGGATTTGCGCAACAACAGAGTCCCTCCGAGCCCCACCTCTCGTGGTTGTCCGTTTCCCTGTCCCGGCTCTGAACCTGCGGAGGAGCTCGGGGAGCAGGGATGTCCACTTTTTAGAGGGTCCTTTCCAGCCCTCCCTTGCTGTGGAGAAGCCCCATTTGGTGACGTCGTACTTATCCCTCCAGACCAAAGATCATTTTTCTTTTCGTTTCCTTTTTCCAAAGATTTGTTTTATTGTCCAAAGATAAACTGGCAGTTTTAGTTGGCTTCTGGGAAAATTGGCCGTGTGGTGGTGTCTGTGTGAACCCTGCAACAGACTGGCATCCCATCCAGGGTGTATCCTGCCTTGTACCTGCTGCTTGCGGGGTTAAGCTGGTTGAAGCAGTTATAAAACAGATGGAAGGATGCAGCAAAATCTCATGAGATTTTCTCATGTAACAGTTCATGCGGACATAACGGGAGGATAAAAACGGACTTGTGTGGAGGGAGACGAGCTTTGGTTTTGGGGTTTCTTTTCAAGCCTTGACTGCAGTATAAAAAAACAAACTCTATTTGTACGATAATTTACTTAAAACGACTTTGTCCTCAGACAGACACTGTAGCTCATAGGAAGCGCCGATTAAAGATGAGATTAGGCATCAAAGAGCAGCTGTTGGTCGCCTGAGGGCCCTTCAGTTGGCATCTAAAGATGAAGACCACAGCTCACCTCACAAGGGGGCACCAAAGGCTGTTACGTGCAGTAGTGTCCCTGTTTTACATCTCATCCACAGCACAGCGTGCGGAGGTTCAGTCATTTAGACTGGGGGGCACACAATGATGACAGCCCGGAATCGGCTGGTTACAAAGCCCTTTCCCTTAACCTGAACACCACTGATCCTTGACAAGCACCCAGATCCCGCTGTACGTGACAGGCTTCCAAACACTAACGATTTACACCTTTTAATAAGATCTGGAGTTTATTTTCCTTAACATTCGCAAGCAAGCAGGTGCAGGCAACACCTTGCTGTCCCCGAGTGTTGCACTTTTGAATCCAGAAATTGGAAGCGCGATTTGGAAGTTTTATTGCAACCAGAGCATTTCGGTCACGAACCGCAGGTGACGCCTGTCTGTGTTCACCAGGGCTTCCTAATGAACGTGTCAAAAGAAAACACGAAAACAATAGCCGACAATGTAACCATTAAAATAATAAAACAGTTTTGACTATTGAGGTGTTGCCACTTTTTAAACAGAATTAGTTTAACGGTGAAAGGAAAGGCGAGGCGAATGGAAACTCCGAAAGACGCGCTGTCGTTTGACACCAGCATGGGAGCGGCCGTAGCGGAAAAACACTGCAGGTCCTCTCCGCGAAAGCACAGTTTATTCGGATTGGGCAGGGCTCGCCATAAGAGCAGAATATTGCTTTTCATATCTATATATATGTCAGATCCCCCACTTCATTTTTACATTCCTAAACAATCCAGGAAGCCTTCTGTTGTCTTGAGATATCTGGTAGATCTTTTAATATGAATATTTGTTTCGTGACTTTCAAATAATCCGTGTGTCCCTGCACGCCACAAAATCCCATTTCTCTCTTCCCCCAAACTGAAGAGCGTGGTGTTTAAAGGGGAGGAAAAAAAGCAGAACATTTCAGTATTCCAGTATTGGAGAATTAAACAAGACATGAACACGCTTCAACACTGCAATTCATTTTTCAACTTTAAATTATGTTTCTATCTCAAATATAAAATAAAAAGCGAATAACTACAGTTCGTTACCATAACATATCAGCAATCGCTTTTAATTGGATTGGATTTGTCCTGTAGCGTTCGGTTTATGTAACAAAACTCAAGACCTAATGTTCTGGTTTCAAGCACATCCGCAGGTTCAACCACGCGTGCAGGTCTGTGGCTTGTCGGCTTTGGCCTCAGTCAGGGATGGTGGGTCAGTGCTTGCCTGTGTCTTACACAGTGTCCACCGGCCAGATCTTCTCCAGCCCGCAACAGCTAGAGAAGTGAGGGTTAGAGAAGTTTCAGGGAGATGAGTGCTATCAATCAATTGTCCCAGAGCTCTCCGCCCTGCCCAACTCCGGCCCGCCCCCCCCGCTTCTCTGTCCTGTCTCAACTTTTGGAAAAAGTTTTTCCCCCCTATTTCTTCGGAGCAGAAGGTGGGGGACAGTTCAGCATTTTAGATTTCCACCCCGTTTAGGAGAGAGAGAGAATAGAAGGAAAATCTGTAAATCTACTCCCGGTCCCGAGCTGGATTGAGAATGGGGTGTACAACACGGTGTAAAGGCTGGCTGCTCGGACTCGCCCTTCTCTGGTTAGCGGTGTGTACCGGCGGCGTGAGCCGGAGAGAACTTTTCCAGTACGGGGAGGGGGCTGGGGACCAGCTCCTGGAGAGAGGAGACGACACCTCGCTTGAATTCGCTCTGGATAAACCGCTGATGTTTTACGACGGCAAATTCAGCAGCGTTCATGTAAGTAGGCAGTCACTTAACACGAAGCGTGTTGACCTCTTTTCCAAAGCCTTCGTAAGCACTGTGAAAGCTCTGGGAGACCTATTGAAAAAAGGAGTTGTGTGCTGGTATAAATGGTTAATGTTTAACGTAAACGTAATCTATAAACGCCACAATAGCTTGGTTATTTTTTGCAGATTTGTCGTAAGGCACTTTAAACTCAATGTTTAAGGTGCCTTACGACAAATCTGCAAAAAAGAACCACCGAGCATCAATTCACGACGACTGTTTTCAATATTTCGTCTTCTATTTTCATATTAATATTAAGCGAAATAATATATTATTAAGGGCACAAAGCATTATGAAATGCACTGAATAAATGACATGCCGAATCTTAAGATAATGATTCACAAGTCCTTTTCTTTCCACATATGTCAGCCAGCTAAAGGTTAGAAATAACTACACTAAGACTTTTTTGCGATCCTTACTTGGAAAAACGAAACATAACGGTTCGCCCACCAAAGGGATCTCGTGTTGCGCTACTTTTTGCGCCGGAGTAATTATCGATTGTTTAAGAAATAGATACATCGACTGTTTCTTCGTATCTTTGTGGCAACAGAAAACTCTGCCTTGTTTATTTTTTAACCACTGGACTTTTACCTCACTCCCATGCCTTGTAATTATCACGAGAAAAAAGGTAGTCCCAGGCGGTACTGTATGGAGAGCCAGCACTGATAACATCAAATACGCGAATCTGCCTGCGATTATCAGTTTTGTAGCCACCATTGTTTTTAATGTTGCATCTCTCTGCATTAAATAAACAGATAAGCAGCAAACCAAAGGAAACACCGCCCCAAAACCGATTTGTTTGATTTAATTGGACTTCTTCAGATAGCGGTTTTTTAGGCATGATGATTGAAGTTGAATTTTAAAGTCCGAGGTTTCCCAAGCAGATATCATTCGCTAAGGAATGCTGATCCTATCTAAGGACGTGAGCAACCAATATAAAGTCTAATGTTTGGTCTATGAGATTTTATCCAAGTTTGGAGGGAGGCCTCAGAAAGGAACTAACTTTTCATAACGATATTTCCAGCCCCCTCTAGCAAGAGGAGAGCTTGTCTTGACTTTTAACTGTTATTTAAATCCTTTCATTATTTTAGATCACAAGTGTTCCGATGCAGGAGATGTGGAAAGCTGTTTGCATTTTGTGTTGCTGTAAGATTGTCTTCATTTAAAGTACTGTATTCAAATAAAAGGAATTTCTCTGAGTAAAAATAACACAATCGACAAAAAAAAATACAGCATAGTGATTATAAAACATCTCAAAGTTACTCATTTCTGGGGTAATTGATATTTGTAGAGCCCAGCTTCGACTTTGGATAGTCTGAAAGAAATCCAGCCCTGCGTTCTCACCAAAGACAATTTCCTGCCTTAGAGCACAAGTGATTTGTGTTTGTGTTCTACGAGCGCTTAATGGCAGCACCAGATTCTAGGACTAGTTGTAGCCTTTTCTGCTAAAGATGTGGACTGAGATCCTTCTCTGCAACCTCTCGGCTCTGCTATTCCTCTGGTCTGAGGCAATAGTCTCCTGTACTGGGTGATAATGCGCTATAGGACTATAATAATAATAATAATAATAATAATAATAATAATAATAATGAATAATTGCTTACACTTATATAGAGCTTTTCTGGACACTCCACTCAAAGCGCTTTACAGGTAATGGGGATCCCCTCCACCGCCACCATAGTATAGTAACGGCTTGTCTTACTGCATGCCCCAATATTATGGGATTTTTTTTCCACATTAAAAAAAAAACATGAACTAATTTTAGTATTGTTTCCATTTCTGTAGCCGTGCAATCTTTGGACATGTTGTCCGGAATGTTTCCTCTGGGATATTCTTTTATTGCTAATCCTGTTATGCGCACAGGAACCTATTTTTTTCTCTCTTTGTGCATCACTTATGGCTAATTGATTTAACACAATAGCCAGAGAACAGGCCACGCAGTTGGCAGACAGTTTGCCTGTTTTGCTGGATAGATGCTGACCTCCTTTGAAAATTATTCCCAAAATAGCAATGTCGGGACTCCTCCGGGTTTTGTTGGGATCGTTGGGAAGACCTTTTTTTGAAGTGCAGTACATTTTCTTTCTCAGGCTGTGCTTTAGCAGTGAGTTTTTGATTTTGCCAGTCGTTCTGTGATGTCAGGAGCTGGAGTGTACCGGCTTTGTCTGATTAATACTCTGTGTGGAGCCTTGCATTTTGAGATGTGCTGTGGAGTTTTTGTCTTCACCAAATCGTTTCAGTGCTTCATTTGCGCTCCTGAACTGTTCCCCCTCTTGGACGCTGTGTTACGCGCACGTCCCTGTAGCCCAGGAGGGGTGTACCCTCACAGCTGTATCCTCAGCACATCAGCAGATGTGAGCGGCGCCTGGGTCCCTCACTTCCCATTCCACCACTCAGGACGAGGTCCTGTTTCTCCCGCGGGCTGCTTTCATGTGCAACAGCTGGGTTTCATATCATTACCCTACCCTGCAGGACTGAGGGGAGCCTCTGGGAGAGGTGGGGGATGGCCGAGGTTAAATTCTTTCTGCATGCTGTTGGAGCCCATGTGGACTGTGCTCTGTCACAGAAGAAGAAGGATTCATTTAGGATAGGGAGGAAGTAAGAGTGCCCCCCCTGGCTGCAAGTTGCAATCCTCCCCCAGTTTAGCAAATGGAACCTGCTGATTCCTGCTGGTGTCTCCGAATGAGCAGGGTCTTTCCAGTGTGAGCCTTTTAACTTGCAGATAGCACTATGAGGGTGTTCACCCGCTCTTTTGTTTTGACAGAAAGAAGTCGTAAGTAGATTTCTAGCCCTTTGTCTATTTCAGTGGGTGGGCACAATGCTTTTGCTTGGGAATGTCATTATTTTTTTATGGGCGATACTGGAATCAACATGTTTTGAACAATTTGCTCTTTACCGGACTTGTATCTGGGGAGCAATACTGGTATGAAGAGAACCATTGCTGAAGAACACAAGCTATTCGAAAGGTCCTCAAATTCATATATTATCCAAATGAATTAGTAGGCAAAGACTGCATTGAAATAACATGAATGAAAGTGAATATTGTGTGATGGGTTAGAGGCTATGCTGTGGGTTTGGATCTGCTTCAGAGCATGCTCTCGTTATTTCCTATTGTGCTGAGGTTTTTATATGGTCTTTTTATAGCAGTGAATCCTACTTGCTGTGTGTCGACTTTTACTTCCCTTCCAAACAAGTCAATTGCAGGTCATCTCAGCCTTGTTGTGCTCAGCTCACTGCTCCAGGTTCATCAGTCCTTCAGGCTTGTTCTTCAGAGAGATGGCGTGGATATGATAAGTCTAATCCTTTTGTGTAAGAAACTTTAAACTACTCTTAAGCAACATATGATTAAATAACCAAAGGGAGTTAGGCACCTCTCTTTTGCTCTAGGTCAGGTCTGTCAGGCTGAATCTTCAGTAAAGGAATATTATTTCGCATTATCTACACACAAAACCTTGCAGCTGGTATATCTGGCTGTTCCTGCAGGCTTTCTCCAGAAGGACTTTTTTATTATACATGCTGTCGATGAAGAAAGTGATCCGATGTTTCACTTCTGCTCAAAGTCTTTTCACGTCTCTGCCACTGTTCTTCAACACACTGGAAGGGACAGAGCAGTAAGGCCCTTTAACCAGTTTGCTAAAAGCGGATATTTTCCAGCCCAATTTGTCACAAACCTAAATACCCCAGTGAAGTAATTAGTCGTTAAGCACGCGCACATTCACACACCCATGCATTTTGTGTTCAAGTCTCTTAGCATAAACAAGGCCTCATGCGACATTATCAAATGTAAACTCTCCCTAATGATGGGTTTGTTTAGTCTGAACTGTGGTGTAGCAGTTTTCTCTGTACTGGGGAAAATCTCTTCTGCGTCTGGTAGGATTGATTCCATTCAGTATGTACTCACCATTTTCTTTCAGTGTGAGACATTCTTTACATCCTTCCCCTTTATTAAAACAGAGCTCTTGACATCTTAACCATATTTTGTTTGTCGGCACAGAAAATCAACCCTGGACCTGCGCCAGCCCAATTCCCTGTGGTTTCTTATTTATTCATGGTTCATTTTCCACAATCTTGTAGGTTTGTTTTTGCTGGGGACGTGGGAATGCTAAAGCACTTATTTTACCTCCATGCCTTCAAACTATTTTTTTAGGAATTCACCATTTTCTAACATAAAATCTCTCCCACAAAATTCGACATCACGCTTATGTTAAAGAGAATATGGCGGTCCGGGCAGATGAAACTCCTCTTTGTGATTAACAGCTGGGACCTAATTGTGCCATTTGGTTCATCTGAATTCTTTTTATAAAAATTCCTTCATGTTTATCACTGCTCTTGTTTTGAAAGAAAAAAACCTCTCCTATTTTACAGAGCATTAAGCTGACGGCAGGTATGTAAAGTTCTTTTGACAGCTTCATTGTCTTGCCAATGTCAGCCATGTCATTCTGTGCTCATCCTCCTCAAATAAAAACCTGCCCTGAGGCCAAGACACACTACAGCCCTGATAACCTGGACACACACTGCAACACAGGCTGTCTGTGTTTAGAAAAGCCTTTGTCTACACTATACTAAGAACGGCTATGAGGTGCATGATAAAGTGTATACTGTGTCTGTGTTTTTTCTCATAAAGAGACAGCGACATTTATTTTCCTTAGGCATCTCCTTATACAGTCTTTACATAATGGTGTAATATGTGCACGTTAACAGTAATTACATAGGTGACGTTAACTTAAATGAAAAGATAGTGTTGTTTTCGACATTCTGTCGTTTCAGTGCACAACAAAATCTCCTGAGCTCAAGTCTGTGCAGTGCTAATGTTTCTAGTTGTCATTTGTCTGTGTGAGTCAGTTCATGGAAGTCCAACCTGGACACCCACTGTACAGCACTGAGCTTG